TAACCGCCACCGCCATAACCGCCACCACCTCCACCATAACCGCCGCCCCCAGAAGTGCGTGGCCTGTCATTTGCCAAGTTTACCTTTATTTGTCTGTTCTCCAGCATCTGATATTACCAGTTTGAAAAAAGAGTGTTCAGGTAAGATTGGTCATTCCCTAAATAGTTTGGAACTCGAAAAATGTTCTAATAGAAAAAAAAAAGCAAAATGGACACAATTTTGGAAGGGGTTTAGAATATGTTCTAGGCAAATAGATCAGTGTTAGGTCATTTTGAAATTTGTTTGTTTGGATGACTTGGACATATAAAGACTAAGAATCTAAATATTAATGTAATGCAGGGCTCTTCACTTTTCCTAAAATTCAGTTTTCCCTCATTTCTTTCCAAAGTGAAGCAGAACATTAAAAAGACTGTTTTCCCTAATTCTTTTCCTTCCAAAACTTCTATTCCAAGGCTTACAAAATATTGACATTAAACCACGGGGTGGGGGTGAACCTTTCCATCCAACGCCTGGATTGCAGAACTAGCATCCTCCGCAGTCCTATATGTGACAAATCCAAAGCCCCTGGATCTTCCTGTTTCTCTGTCTGTTATGACTCTTGCTGCAACAAATTAAATACTCCTAATAAATATAAAGAATAATTTCTTGCACAGTGATTCCCAACATATGATAAGACGGTTGTCTACAAAAATATCCTTGAAAGCAAGAGGTTAAACTAAAGTGCAATAAGATCACAAAACAAACCCTAATCGTGCATACAATTAGGGCACACTAGAGAAAAGTAACTCCTATTAAATTTATTTTAAAAAAGCTTCTAGATAACATCTAGACATAATGACTCAACACAGAGAGCATAGTAAGAATATAAAATTTTTAAAATTATTGAAATGAGGGGAAGAACAGAAGCCATATGAATATAGTGTGTCATTGATGTGTAACCCAAATTGCACATCATTATTCATCAACCAGTTCTTTTTGGATGCTTATTGCTTACAAGATACTAGATAATTTTTTCCAGTTGCCAACTATAATTTTTCGTCTAACTTGCTTTTACAGACAATAACTTAAATGACATGCCACCAATATCATCTAACTTTTAAAGAAAAATGCAGAATATTATTATACCTTCAACAACTTCTCCATACTTAGAGAAAGTATCTACAAGACTTGAATCATCTATACTCCAAGGGAGACCTACAATACCAAACAAATCAATATCAAAATCTAAAATTACAGTATGCATTTTTATACTATAGTTTGGTTGTGTGTATCATTATACTGTTAATTGTCATATAAAAAGTTAGCTTATACAAGTAAAATTTAATTTGTTAGGGCCTAAGGACCTTTCTTTCATCTAGCCCGGACCCTTGAATCCTTGACCCTGTATATCATACTGTACATAAATCACGCTTGATCCTGGAAATGAACAACACATACCTCCCACAAAAACTTTTGAAGACATAAATCGCAAGAACTGGAGAGCTGCAGGAGTAGATGCAGATATCTCATGGCTGATTTGAGTCTTGCTGATGGTCTGTCGGAGTATGTTCCCAGCTTTACTAAAGAAAGCCATTCTGCAATACCAAGAAAAAACAATTCTTTTCAAACGTAGATCCAACAAACAATCGATTAATTACATCCCAACATACATAATCATCTAACACTTAAACATCCGGCGTACATAATAGATGAGCTGATAAATACTTCTCCACATATCGACTACAGGCGTATATAATGATCATCTAGCAATTAAACATCGATCTTATTACATTAAAACATGCATACAACAAACAATCGAATCCATCATATGAAATTATGCGTTTCCTTTTAAATCCGATTCGGGGACAATGAACCTAAACACACAAATACGAACACGGCTGACCTTAAATCTCGATGGGAGGAAATACCGTGAAGGATGTAACTGGAAGACGACTCGCTGCGTCGTCTACTGTAGATACGCCGCGCCGCCGGGAAGGGTTCAGGCGATCCGACGCCTGAGGTTTAGACGCTTTCCGCTTGTGAGAGTGTTGCGGCGTTGAAGAATGAGAACGGGGAAAAAATGGGATAGCAGAGGGGGGTATAGTAGGTTCCAGAAGCCAAAATCTAGGGCTGTTAAGATATGAGATGGGCTCAGATATATGGGCCTATAAGTAGTGAATCGAGATGAACAGACCGCCTGGCCCATTTAATTGAGCTTTGCTTAATTAATTAGAGTACTTTTTAAACGATTAAGGCCCGTTCCGTTCAACTTATTTTTTCTTATTTTTTCTTATTCTTATTAAAATCAGATCAGATCAGATTAGATCCGACCAGATCAGATCAGATCGAATCAGATCAGATCGAATCAGATCAGATCAGATCCAATCAGATCAGATCAGGACTTATTAAAATCAGATCTCATCAAGAATTATTATTATTATTATTATTATTATTATTATTATTATCATCATCATCATCATCATCATCATTATTATTATTATTATTTTTATTATTATTATTGTTCTTAAAAATGAAAAAGAATAAACTTTAGAAATAGGTTAAATAGAAAACTGAGAAAGTAATCCTTAATTATTAGACGTCGGAAAAATTAGTTTTAAAATACATTGACAATATCAATCTAATTCTACTTTTAAAATATATTTTTATTGCTACTTGTAG